CCAGGGATCTGATATACAATAATGCAGTTTCCTATTTGAACAACTTTTTGGAAGTAAAAACCAGACTAATCCAATATGGTTTTCTTAACTGTGACATCTAAGTGTTAGATGTCCTATTTCAAAGAATGGTGTGTATGCTACTTAAAGTCATTAAAAGTTCATTTAAATCAATTCTACAGATAGAACACATGCCTCAAATATTAGCTATGTTTATAATTCTGGCTATGGAGTGTGAAATATAATAACAAGTGTGATAATGATTTTTGTTCACAATCCCCCAAACAGATTGTAAATTGAAGATGGCGTCTTTGGCTAAGAAAGCCTAGTTTCCAATTCTGTTAATGATTAACTTTATTAACAAAAGCCCCTTCCCATTTTCTGGCAGAAAGTCTATAAAATGCCATTCTTTATCAGTTCCCGATGATAAATGTTCCCTACAGCCAAGGAAAAATGATACAAGTCTTGCCATTATTCAAAATGTACTAATAGCAGAGGCATGGAAGGAAAGAACTCTCAAAAAGTTTGATATATCCAATGCAATACAATGTAAAAATGTTTTGTTAGACTTTTGCGATCTTTATATAATTACTGATGCTCATAAATCATTATTGTATAAAGATAGGAGCAACCATGTTGATGTGTTTCTTTTCAGCATTCTTGGATAACCAATTTTTAAAAATCTTGCGGAGTAATGGTTTAGAACGTTGGCAGATGATTACAGATAAGTCCAAATACAACTGATATTTTAGATCTATTTTAATTTTGCTTTTAAGTCAGATATAGATGTAAATCTATTTTGACTTACCCTGAGGGATGACCTACATCCGTGATGGCGAACCTATGGCATGCATGCCACAGGTGGCACATGTAGCCATATCGGTGAGCTCAGTTCCGGTCTGCATGCGCGTACCGGCCAGCTGATTTTTGGGCCTTCTGGCTGTTTCCCGCCTCTGGAGGGCCTCGGGGGGTGGTGGGGAAAGTCCATTTTTCTCTCTCCCCAGCCTCTAGTGCCTTTCTAGGAGCATGGGGAGGGCAAAAACAGCTTTCGCCATCCCCCCGGAGGCCCTCTGGAGGCCAGAAATGGCCTATTTGCCAACTTCCAGTGGAACTGGAAGGCCTGTTTTTTGCTCTTCCCCAGGCTCCAGAGCCTTTCTAGCGGCCTTCCCCACTCCCTGGAGACCCTCCAGAGGCCGGAAATGGTCCGTTTGCCAACTTCCGGGGGGACCAGCAAACAGGCCGTTTCCAGTGTCTGGATGTCCTCCGGGGGGTTGAGAAGGCCGTTTTCGGCCTCCCCAAGCTCCTAGAAAGGCTCTTCTAAAAATAACTTAATGTAAGGTGTTTAAATGAACTTTCCCCTCTAAATTTCTAAATGAACTGTGACCATTAGCTCTAGAAGGATAATAAAATAAATTCTTCATGTATTATTTTCTTACAAGCTGTCAGAAACATTTACCATCAAACTATTGGCATGTCTTTCTGAGTGGTGATATTTAAATAAGATATTAATGTGGTATAAAATGTCAGTATACATCATCACATTGTGCAAATACCAAACACAATTGTATATAATAGTCCTTGAAAATGGAAATCTTTATACATCAATTTTTGTGCTGAGGTTTTAACAATCCTAACATAGAGATGAAGCCTAGCTTTAAAAAGTATTCCACTAAATTTCGTATATTCACTAAAATTCCATATCTGAGTTAGCAGCTTTTCCTAACGAAAGTTTAAATCAAGAAAATATCAGATACTGTATTGTAACATCTCTCATCTTTCCTGTAAATTGCTGCTGGTGGTTTTTGAAAACACTGGAAATTGCTTGCGATTGACAATGTGACACATTACAAGGATAGTTTGACTTGACTTTTGCACATTTACACAAAACTGTCTTACATTATTCATGCATTCAACACTTAGGCAATTATCAGAATCATTGATTTCTGAAATCCAGAGACTTCCTTTCACACTAGACTAAAATCTCTTTTTGTCTTCTTTATAAAGATCAAATTAACATGGTAGCCAACAAAAAAAAAAAATACTTAACTGTTTCAAGGATCACAAATTCTACTGACTTTCGCCATGCCATCATGCCAACACTTTTTAGAACATCCGATACTGAATTTTTATTGAAATTGAATTTATAATTGAGAAAAATCATTAGGAATGAAATAAAACAAATTATTAATTGATAGAAGAAAGTTAAAAACGACCCAAAGGCTTTGACTGCAGGATTTGAAATCATTTAAATGTATTCATATAAGCATTATCTATGTGGTCCCTAAGAAATGACTCCAATTTTGATAGCATAGAATCAGTTGAGAATATTTGAACTTAGTGAATCCTATTATGACAGAATATATTTGTAAAGATTTAACTGATCTAAAAGGTACTTGGGGAAGAGAAAAGTAATAAGAACAAAACATTAGGCTCTGATTGAATTTTCCCTCTGGATCCATCACAGCAAGCAGCACTTTCTATAAATGGCCTTTTCCCATTTTTCACAGCATGTTTAGAATCAGACTATTTGAAGTTAAAACAAGAACTAAAAAGAACCCCACTACAATTTTTTGGGGTTCAATCCTTCTGAAGTTGTTTTTAAGAAATAAATATAGAGGTTAATATATCACTGACAGTTTGGCTCAGAGCCCCTTATTTTATATATATTCAATTTAATTACATAAAAGTTATTTAAATATATTTCATATATTTTATAATACTAATCATATTCCTGTTTCAATTATTGTTTTAATTTATGCTTGCACTGCATTTAGCTACAGCATCATAATCAATAAAATTACTATGTGTTAGCAAGGCACATCATACAAATGCCATACTCAGCAGCATTTACTCTTTCTCTAATTTCACTTCCATTTGGACTTAACATATGTAAATTATGCCTTTATATTCCACAATCTGAAGCTACACAGCATTTTCTGTCAATGAAATGCATGTATTACTATCAGTTCTGTTGACTACCATTCCTGTCCACCAATTTTTTTTCTTTATGATGCAGAACAGAGGAAGGATTAACCTGCCTTACTTCCTTTCTACTGCAGTTATGTCTAGAAAAAAGGTTAAAGCTGGAATAACCAAAGGCCACTCCTTTTTAAGTCTGTCCATGCCAAATATTCTTAGTACTATTTTCAGTGGTCTTCCCTTTCAATATATAGGTGGAGATAATATAGATTGTTGATAAGAAGTCTTCTGCTTCTTTAATTTTTATTTCTTACTTCTTCATCCATCTCTCTCTTTCTCCTATTGTTCCCCGTTGCTAGTTAACTCTTATTGATGTTTATTATATAAGCATCAAGCTATATCTTTTGCTAACTGACATGTATATTTGCCCTGATCTGGATACAGGGATTGACTATATCAGTATGTTGAGAGTAAACTAAAGTGAAAAATACACATAAATTTTTCAACAAACTGTACACAGAGATCTTCACTCTACTCTTGGACTCCTTTCATACTACTTAGAGAAGATTAGAAAAAAAGTAAACATAATACAAAATAATACATTATGAAAATTAGAACAGAAAAAACCACTTATTTTATAAATTTTCATATGCAATCTCATGTTAAACTGAAGCAAGAAGATATTTTAAAAATGTATGTATGTATTTGTATGTATTTTTAAATCTTATCCAATGTAATACATCAACATTAATACTTAATTTCCCTTTCTAAATTATGTTTAAGCCAATATCAGCATCATTGCTTATTTCTAAATTTAATGAACAAATTTATGGTACTTGGGCATCTGGTCAGTACTTTTCCAGACAGACAGAATTGCTCTGTTAATGGAACTAGGTTCCCTTGCCTCACCCTTTAACAACAGGCACATAGAAATAAACAATGACATTTACACACAATTTAAAAGGGACAACCAAAATACTAAAAAGAAAACAAAAGAAAACAAAATGCTAAAAATGCTCCTTGCCAGCAATCATCACCTAGCTAAACAAGGATTAACACCAAGATTAATACCAAGATAATCAAGCAGCAAACAACAGCCTAATCAAGGAACTATGAAGGAAAAAACAACACTCCCATCAACTCTGTCAGAGCAAGCTTCTATACATAAACAGAGACCAAACCCTATATCGTTCTAGCACTGAAGATGTTACATAGTCTGGTAACAAAATGTCTGCATAAACAACCAAGGACAGATAGCACCAAGGATTCCACAGTTCAATCCAAGCTACATATATTCTCTTCTATTGGTCTCATAATCAGTGTATCTTCATTTATCAGCTTGGCTGCCCCTGTCCTGTGTTGCCATGGGCTTGACTCTAAACCAGTTTAAAAAAATTAGGTGGGAAAGGCTACAAAAGGGAACTTTGCTTCAATATTTGTATTAAGGCTATACTGTCCTTAAATAGTAGAATTTATGAAAAAAGATGGTTGTCAAGAATCTTCTGCTCTACAAGCTGGTGGTTCATATTGTGAGCTACTTTTGGCCACAGAATGGATAGAATGACAGAACAATTAACAAGCTCAAACAACTTCAGGAAAGTAGAGTAAAAAAAAACAATAACAGCAATATAGTCTCAATCAGTTCCAAAATCAATTATTAAAGTTTTTGCAAATCAGAAAACCAAACAAAATAATATGAAAATACCAGCAAATATCTGCTTGGAAGAATTCCATGTTATTGCTTACAAAATGTTCGAATTGTGACAAGTTAGAAGAAACTAATCATAAAAATAATTATTTGAAAATTTGCAGACATAGAACAAGTAGGATTTATCTAATTATCATATGAAGATGCTCTTAGAAATTTATGTATGATGTATCTCGTTATGTCAGTGGATTTCCCCAAAACATATAATAATGCTATAGCAATAATGGAAACAGAAATTCAAAAGATCACAATTGATCCATGGTCATTTTTTAAAACAATCAATGAAATACAGTATATTTAAAAAAAAATAGCCAGCCTGTAATTCTTTTAATTCAGAATCATTTTCCATTCCATTCAGTCAAAATATGGAACCTACCTTAGATAGACCACCTACTTCCAAATAAAAGCAGATAATGAAAACATTCCATGTGACCCAGAGAGCAGTCCAAATGGAGTACTAAGTAAAGAAAGAAAAACAGATAAAAGATTATGATAAAAATATTATGCACATGGCTGCTGTACATTAAACATATAAGTACACTTCTGGGAACCACCAGGCAGAGAGTTTCCAGAAAGAATTCTCTACTATGAAATCTGTAGAACTGCAGCCAACTGCAAATCCAATATTCTTTCTTTCACTGACTACACACAAAGAAAGTTAGATTAATTATTTATGGTGCTATATTAATCTACTGATACCAATAAATTCTGACACATTGACCTAACTGTACATTTAATTCTCATAATATATTTCTGCAATGAATGGAAGCAATTATACCACAGCCTTATTTTTCCAAGTCTCTAAGAAATGACCAAAAACGAAATAATCTGATAATTCAAATAAATAAATAAGCCTGTGATTAATAATGTTGTGAATTAAATTTCTCCAGTTTATCAAATGATGGCATAAATACTTTCAAATTTTCCCTCTATCTAGCTAGTACATATACAACACATGTATGTATGCATCAACATATAAAGGAAAGAAAGTAATAGGAATGAAATATATTGCTGGAAAATTGGTATCTAGGTAAATTGATGAGAGCAGCAAAATGACATTGCAGGTATTCACTGTAGTAATTTAGCATAAAAATTCACATTTTTTTGCAGAATAATGTTATGATGCACACAGTGTCACTTTTATTCCTTTTCCTCCCTCGTGAACTTTAGTGTGTAATATGAATAGAACTTCTTTTCATGTCTACATTTATAAAATTCATAGTATGGACTTATGATTTCTTTAATCTCATTAAGATTTGCCCTTAAATGTGAAATTTTGATTAAAAGATGCTTCAATCCAATCACCATGCTGAATGGAATAATTGATCCAGTATGTTGATTATGTGTCATCAAGTCAGTGTTGACTTTTAGTTATTACATAGATAGATTTTCTCCATGAATTCCATGTGTTAAACTGAATCTAATGCTTTCAAATTGATTGAGGGTTCAGTAGGATTCCATGCATGTTCATAGAAATTCACTTCTGCAAATTGTACTGCAAAATCAAATCAAATTGCACATTCAGATTAGATTTGGATTTGCGCACATAGTATTTATGCATCATTTGATGAAAGAATTTTTTTTTTGAGTTTTAAAAATTAAATTCAGGAAAGATTTTGCATATTGTGACAAACCATAATATATTTTGTTTAATTTTATCTTAATGGTTTTAGCATGTTAAATGAACTGAACTGTGGTTTATTCAACAATCACAATGAAATAAACCATGTCTTAACAAGTTGCATGAACTAGTAGAGGGGGCGGGCATAAGTGCACTAACATGCCCTGTCATTGTATTTTTATTTTCTTATTTGTGTTCTCGTTTTTGTTTGACAAATTCCAATAAAGAAATAAATAAACTAAACCTTAATCTCAATTGGCTATAAATTTTAAACAGAAAATGAGGAAGAGGAAATTCTTTCCCTCCAGTAGTACTTCATTCAAAATCTTTCCTCTTATTAACTGCTTTCATTCCACAAGAAAATAATTCATAGCAACACTGACCATAGGCTTGGACTACAAGACCGCCAAGGTTCCTTCCAGCTCTATTCTGATTAATTTATTTACATAAATATCAGTCCTTGAGTGTTATTGCCAAATTTGTTAGAAAGAAAAAAGTTATTACTGGGAAAAACGTTTTAAAATCATGCTTGATGCTTAAAGTTGCTATTCTATGGAACAGCAACTTTATGGAAGGAAGGACTGTAGTGACTGAACTTTTAAGATGATTTAAAAAACATGTTCATCTGCACCATCGTTCCAGTTATACAATGTATAGTTAACTTCAGTTATGCATTAAGAATGCCAGCCATAGCTGCAGAAATATAGAAACACACTCACAACCATTCTTATCTAGTTCAGTTAAATTTGTGGCGGACAAGAGACCAAAGCAACAGGACAGAAAATGAAAAGTGATTGGCTCAAAATTTGATCAAAATCATTTCTCAAAGAATGTTTGCCTTATCAAACATTTTACAGTTTTTTTTAAGGTCAGATGAAGTTGGCTTTCTTATTGTTTTTTTTTATTATTATTTTATTTTTAAACAAACAAAACATAAAACATCTATCATACATTAGAATTGCAAACAGTGTGTCGATTGTTTATAAATCCCTTGGGCTTCATTTTACAAATTATAGTTCTTATTGTTTCTTAATGTGTAGGTTGGCTTAACTCCAAATAATCTAGTTTTGCATCTTCTGGGGCCTGCATTTTGTACCTTTCTAAAGATTAAGTTTCTTTCCCCTTTAATCACCATCTATTTCTACAAGTTTTTACTACTTTATACATTTCAATGTAAAAAAAACCTTGTTAGTTGTTTATAATTATAAATGAAAACATAAAATCCATTTATTCTCCTTTAAGAGAAAAAAAAATCAAATCTCCACATTAACACACAATTAATGTGTGTTAATACAGTTAAAAAATACAGTAAAAAGAAAACAAATCAATATTACACAACCTTTATGTAGCACTACATTTAGAAATTCAGTTTGATTAACTAATAAAGTTTTGTTCCTGACTCAAACATATATCAGCTAATTGGTTACCTATGAGCTTACAGATACAATTCAAGGTACTGTTTGTCACCCTTAAAGGCTTATATCCAAGACAATCTTCTCTGAATTCAGCCTGTTTGCCAGTGAGATCTAGCCCTTAGGAGTTTCCTGAAAATTCCAAATTTGAGCGAAAGCTATTTATATTTGACTTGGTGGTCAAATATTTTGAGTGATGGCCTATCACCTCTGAATGGCCTACAACTAATATAGGCCCTTCCTACTCATTTTTAAAGAACTGTGAAAATAGGGGTTCCCTATATAGAGCAGAATTACCAACTCTCAAAGATTAAAGGCCATTCAGTTCCCAGATGTGTCTAAATATAAGATCACTTTCAACTGATCCTAGGGTAATATGTATGCATGTCTCGTCTATTTCTTTAGAAAATTTATATGACCGCACACATACTCTCAGTGACCCTAAGCAATTTACAAAAAATAAAAAATTCAATGTAAAAAAAATAAAAACAGTGACCCCCTATCCCCCTGGCAACAACAAACAATAAAACAAGTCACTTGATGGGCTCTATCCTACTTTGGGTTCCACAGACCCACTTGCAAAACCAGATCTTTATGGCCTTGCGAAAGAATGTCAAAGTGAGGGCTAGTCTAATCTCTGTGGGGACAGGGGTGGGTTCTACTTACCTTTACTACCAGTAAAGGTAAGTAACGGGACTGTGCGCACGTGCTTGCTTCGCTCGCGCATGCGCATGTTTGATGACATCAGGGTCAGTGGGCAGAGCCTCCCGCCAGTTTTACTACCAGTTCTATAGAACTGGTGCAAACTGGGGGCAACCCACTACTGCTATGGGGATGAAGTTCTAAAGGGAGGAAGCCACCATGGAGAAGGCCCTTTTTCTGGGTCCCGCCAGATCTATCTCCTTAGGACCCACAACATTCACTCCCTCTCCACCTAGTGAGTTGGTGGATATAACCAGGAAGAGACGATAACCTGGTCTTTCAGATGACCTGGTGTCAAGACACTATATAATACACCAGTGTGTGTGTGTGTGTGTGTGTGTATACACACACACACATATCCATACACATGTATTTATGTGTAGATACATGCACACACATAAACATACAATAGATATATTATGTTCATTGACAGAAATGGAAAGATTATAACAGATCTATGATGGCGAACCTATGGCACGCGTGTCAGAGGTGGCACACAGTGCCCTCTCCGTGGGCACGCGAGGTATTGCCCCAGTTCAGTTCCATCATGCATGTGTACGGATCTCTTGCCGGCCAGCTGATCTTTGGGTCTCTGCCATGCATGTGCAGGGGTGGAGCATATGTGAGGGGACACATGCGCATGCGTGGGGGTCAGAGCACATGCAGAAGGTCACATGTACATGCATGGGGGTGGGGGAATGCACGGGGCCGGGGGGCATGCACGGGACTGCATACGCATGCACGGGGTGGTGCAAATGCGCAGGGCCCATGCACACATTGCATTTTGGGGGTTCGGCCACGCGCACCTGCTTTGGGCACTCGATCTGGAAAAGGTTAGCCATCACTGTAATAGATTGTTAGATTTCATCCTAGTATAGAATTAATGTCTTCTATGGGTCCAGTGACTGTATTCTGCACCAAACCAGGAAGAAAGGATACACATGTAGAAGATTTGTTTACAAAAGAACACTGGAATACAAACACACACACACATGGTGGCCCAGATTTAAAATCCAAGGTCTTTTGTTTTTCAAGACATACATTTTGGGCAATCTTTTTTTATTTTATTTGAAAGTATAGTTCCATGTTTAAACAACAGACCTGTCTTGCTTGCTTACACACTTGCAATATCAACACCATACAAATCTGAATGAAATTGATTTGATCTTGTGGAATGGAGTAAAACCTCCCCACTATACATATATGTATAGCTGGGTATAGATGTGTACCCAGCTGTACATCTCCACCCCAAGCCACCCCAGCGATGCCCTTGAAGTGATGGCCCAGTGCCTGGAGGCTGTACGGATCTGGATGGGGAGGAACAGGCTCAAGCTCAACCCTTCCAAGACCGAGTGGCTATGGTTCCCGGCATCCCGATATAGTCAGCTGACTCCATCGCTGACTATCGGGGGCGAGTCTTTGGCCCCCGTGGAGAGGCCGCGCAATCTGGGTGTCCTCCTGGATACGCAGCGGACCTCGGAGGAACATCTGACGGCTGTTGCCAGGGGGACCTTTTGTCAGGTTCGCCTGATTCGCCAGTTGCGCCCCTTTCTTGATCAGGATTCCGTGTGCACAGTCACTCATGCCCTCGTCACCTCTTGCCTGAACTACTGCAACGCTCTCTACATGGGGCTCCCCTTGAGGAGCACCCGGAGGCTCCAACTGGTCCAGAATGTGGCCGTGCGGGTAATTACAGGAGCTGCATGGCTCTCCCGCATAACACCACTCCTGCGCGAGCTGCACTGGCTCCCAGTGGTCTTCCGGGTGTGCTTCAAGGTGTTGGTTACCACCTTTAAAGCGCTCCATGGCATAGGACCTAGTTATCTTCGAGACCGCCTTCTGCCACCAACGACCTCCCATCAACCCGTGCACTCCCACAGAGAGGGCCTCCTCGGGGTGCCATCAGCCAAGCAATGCAGGCTGGTGACCCCCAGGGGGAGGGCCTTCTCTGTGGGGGCTCCCACCCTCTGGAATCAACTGCCCCCAGAGATAAGGAGAATCCAAGACCTCCGTGCCTTCCGCCATGCCCTTAAAACTTTCCTTTTCCAACAAGCTGGGCTGGCCTAACAAATCCTTTTAAATGATTTTAAATTCGTTTGTCTTTTTAAATTTTGGGCCAAATTGAGATATTTCCTTTTAATCTGTTCTTAATTTATGTATTATGTATTATGTGTTTATGTGTTTTTACTTGGCTGTACACTGCCCTGAGTCCCTAGGGAGAAGGGCGGTATATAAATTTGAAGTAAAATAAAATAAAAATAAAAAATATAGAAGCATGAAACTGTAGGTTTAATTCTGAATGAAAAGGATAAATAGGGGGCTCCTCTTGGGGAGCACCCGGAGGCTCCAACTGGTGCAGAATGCGGCCGCGTGGGGGATTATGGGAGCGAGGGAGTGCTCCCATGTGACACCTCTCCTGTGTGAGCTGCATTGGCTTCCAGTGGTCTTCTGGGTGCGCTTCAAGGTGTTGGTCACCACCTTTAAAGCGCTCTATGGCATAGGACCTGGGTATTTGCGGGACCGCCTTCTGCCGCTGATAGCCTCCCACCGACCAGTACGCTCCCACAGACAGGGACTCCTCAGGATGCCGTCAGCCAGGCAATGTCGGCTGGTGACCCCCAGGGGGAGGGCCTTCTCTGTGGCAGCTCCTGCCCTCTGGAACGATTTGCCCCCGGAGATACGAAGGATATCGGATCTCCGGGTTTTTCGCTGTGCCCTAAAAACCTTTCTTTTCCATCAAGCAGGGCTGGCGTGAAACACCCCCCCCTTTTAAGCCTTTTTTAGCCTTTTAAATTGTCAAATGGGTTTTAGTTTGAATGTTTTAAATTTTGGGCTACAGTTATATAATTCTTTTTAAAAATTTTAAATTTTGTATTGGTATGTGTTTTAGTTCTGGCTGTGCACCGCCCTGAGTCCACTAGGAGAAGGGCGGGATATAAATTGAATAAAATAAATAAATAAAATATATAAATATATATTGGAAAGTATGATCTGCCATCATTTTGGGGTGAATATTAAAGAAAGAATTAGAATAGTAATAGTTGCATGTTATTCCAGCAAACAGAGATAATAGAAGAATTGTAGGATGAATTTTGGGGAAATTTGTGTAATATTTTGAATCAGTGTGATTAAGTGGAAAAAATAATTTGTTTAATTCTATGAGTTGATGAGTGGGAATGAGATGAAAGAATACAGAAAAGTGTTTGAACCTTTTATAAACCCAACAATGAATCATAAAATAACTGATGAGTATTAACTTAGAAAAAGTTCCACGTAAGGTGTGTTTGTTTTATGTAGTGAAAAAAGATTAAAGTGTACATGTCCAATCATCAGAAAGCAGGAGAAAAGCAAACATGGGTAACTATACACTAATTAGCTTCAAATTAATTCTAAGCAAAACTTCAGAACAGATTATTAAGCGTTTGATCTTTGAGCATTTAGAAAAGTGTGTCTTGCTTGTCAGGAACCAAGCAGGGGTTTATAAAAAATAAATCACACCATGACTGTTTCATCTCTTTATTTAATTGACGATTTTAGTTAAAGAGGAGAATGAGGTGGACATAATGTACTTTGACTTCAGCAAAGCATTAAATAAAGTCTCCTTGCATTTTGGCAAATTATGAGCTAAACCAGGGTTCTATTCCAGAAGAGGGACAAAGAGCAATTGGTATGACAGCAGGAAAAAAATTGTAAAGATAGGACTTGTTTAACAATAGAACAGATTATGTCAGAAAGTGCTAGACTGTCCTACACTGGGAACTGAAGAGCCATTTATAGAATTTACTTTAGTGAATACTGAGATAACTCAACATTTATATAAGCTTAAGGTGGAGCTAGAATATTTTGTATTTAGGTACAAAGGTGTGTACTGCCCTAAATAAAAATACTAGATATTCCTTGTTTTCTGTATTTTGTTTGATCTTTCTGGGCTTTCTGGGTTATAATTGATTGAAATAGGCAGCCTTTAATTAAAAGACTGCATAGGCCTCAGCAGTAATTTGTATAAGATCTCCCAAGATTTCAAACAAGAATGCAAAATTTCACTACTCTCAAGCAAGTACCAAAATTTGGCATAAATTCTGAGATGTCCTGAGTTCTAAGACATGATCATGGGAAAGTTTAGTTCTCAACCTTGGATATACAGATAGTCCTTGACTTACAAATATTTGTTTAGTGACTGTTCAAAATTACAATGGGACTGGAAAAAGAAAAAAAGTGGTTTGTTATCATTTTTCACACTTAAGACCATTGCAACATCCCCATGGTCACGTGATCCAAAATTCAGATGCTTGGCAACTGGCATGTATTTATGAAAGTTGCACCATCTTGGGGTCATGTGATCACAATTTGTAAACTTTCCAACTGGCTTCTGATATTCAAAGTCAATGATGGAAATCAAATTCACTGAATGGCTGAATGATTCACTTAGTAACTGCAGTGATTTACTTAACAACTGTGACCAAAAAGGTCATAAAATGGGGCAAACTCTCTTAACTACTATTTTACTTAGCAACAGAAATGTTGGGCTCAATTCTGGTAGTAAATCAAGGAGTATCTGAATAAGAAATAAATCTCTATGTTGATTTATTAACATTCACATTATTATTTTACTTGCTGTTTCCTTTTAGCAATATAGAATGAGAAAACAAAATATGGAACTAAACAGATGTTATGGATGCAATTGTTATCTATGGATAATTCAAACATCCACAGATCAAGGAAATACAGTTATGTAAAATTACTCACTTTCATATAAAAAGTTTCCTTTTTAAAGACTTACAAAATACATTGAAATGAAACCCTAATTTAAATTCCCTAAATATAAAAAAATACTAATATTCTGCACCTGTTAAGATGCGATAATAATTTGAGATGAAATAAAAGATGAGAAAAAAGATGAAAGGCTTAGATCAATACCAATGTAAACTTTAATAGCAGTTTTTATAAAATTCCTTACCCAAAATTCCTAACAAAATAAAATAGAAGAGATTGTCTTTACACTTCAAAATCCATTACAAATAAAATTACAGAGAGTTCCCAAATGCTGACATTTCCAGAGGGAGAAGCCATAAATATTCAACCTTTCCAGACAGCTAAGGCTCAGCAAAATGTGAAGGAAGATAGGTTTTTACATGGTTTTAGAATTCCTGATTCCTGTAATGTTAAGTTGCAGAGATCCCCAGTGTGTTTATAGTTCTTATACAAAGACTATACCTGTAATTATGTTATTTCACATAGCTGAAGTAAAACACCTTGGCATTTTACAGTTATTTATTCTTAAAACCTCTATCTTCAATTGTTTTCAGGGTCAGTTACTAGTCTGCATCAATTCAAAGAAGTCCCTGATGGTTCCCATAAACACATGGGGGTTACATGAGTATGAACTGCATGGGCAAATTGGATATAAAATGTATTCAGGAATATGAAGGAAATAAGATACGGCAAACAAAAGCAAATTATACTTCAAGGGTCTTGTTTTTCAGCAATACACTATGGTATCTTTTATAAAATTGCTGGGAAGATTTTAAAGGAAAACTTCAAGAATCACTTGCCCTTATATTGAAGACAGTGGTGGGATTCAAATAATTTAACAACCAGTTCTCTGCCCTAATGACCGGCTGGGTGGGCGTGGCCATGGTGAGCGTAGCCAGGGGGTGTGACAGGCAGCGCTTGGCCTCTTCTACCCCCCGGGAGAAAAACCGGCCACGGGGAGGGATGTACCACCCTCCATGCCCCATGCCTAGTAGGCCTTCCTGCAGCCTCCTGGGAGCAAAAGCGGACCACGGGGGGGAGGAGGGGGCGTGCCACACACCCCATGCCCCATTTTGGGCCTAGCATGCCTCCCCACACTTATCTGGGAGCCAAAATGGAACACGTGGGGACTCCTGGAAAGGGCAGGGAGGGGAGGGATGAGGCCAGCCAGCAATTTAACTACTGGCTCTCCCGAACAGGCCTGAACAGGCTGAAATCCACCACTGACTGAAGGCCATATACTTCTTCACACTCATACTCACAAATATATATTTCCAATTGCTCATAGAACATCTTAATACTAATCACAGAACAATAAGAACAGCCATGATATAAAAAAATCAAACATAATAAAAAGCTGAACAGTAAGCAAGTGTTTACAAGTTATACGTATTATGTAGAAAACAATTGGAAAAAGAATTGTGAATGTACTTAGAAAGTGAAAGATAACTTACCAGAACTATATACCGAGGTCTGTATTGGATGGTTCCAAACAAACCCAAAATAACAGCTATTATATGCAGGAAATTGCCAAGGATGGGAGCCCACTGGAATCCCAGAAAGTCAAAGATTTGTCTCTCCAGTGCTGCTAGCTGTAATTAAAACAAGCCAAATGAATAAATGAATATATCAGAATTAAACCAGATTTTCTTTCATAGATAAAGCATTATTGGCAAGGGCTGATTCTTTTGAAAAGGACTGATATCCATTTCTTGATCCTTTATTTTTTTTATTGCATAAACAAATCAGTTTATGCTAATCGTAGCAGCAAAAATAAATATGGATCATATCTAAAATCAAGTCAGCAGATATCCACTCTTGTTCCCTTCCTCTTTGCATCTGCAAATTTGTGTCACATAATCCTATAGTGCAAATCAACAGTCCTTTAAATCATGTGAAGCCAAATGTGAGTCCACAGCAAGAACGCCACTAAAATCAATAATCAGTCATAAAATGTATACTACTGTGCATGTCTTCCTTGACTTTAGTGCACAACAGAACTATAGTATGGTTTAAACTACTGACAGTATGTCTTAATTTTCATATTTCTAACAGGAAACAGAATCTCACATATGACATGCTTCTTCACATCTGTACTGAATGGCAATGATTTGCACATATTGACAGTTGACTAAATAAATGAATACCTGAATAAAACTGTCTTCACTCTATCAAAGGACAATAAGTTCATGCACAAGCTTTCATACTGGTTTCTAACCAAATCTGAATTGGGATCATCACTAATGTGTGATTCATAAAGCATACCAATCTTCACTAGCTCGACAATTTCATGCTCTTTAATATTGATTTAAAATGTAAATGGAGGTCATCCCAAAGCAGAGAATAGCACTTGATGGCACAAATGGCTTCTGCCTGCTCTGTAATTCTAAGAATCTCAACATATAAATTGTGCTATTTAGTCTCCAGACTAAATAAATGCTTAAATTTTGCATGCTTAACAAAATGAAAAATTTCAATTTATGGGTGCAGGAACTAAACTTTCTGTAGAGCAGTGAACTATATTGTGTATCCTTTTACAGTATAATTTTTAAGTATAATTACATGTAAACAAACTACTAAAATGTAAGTAAAAGATGGTCTTAATACAATATTAGAAGAACATCTGAACTAGCAAATAATATTGACGGAATGAATTTTCACTTGGTTGTGCAGTTAGAAACAAAATTTGTTTATCTAATATATATGCTCTCCCCTAGACAGGAGTAAATAGATACAAAGTAAATTATTAACGGCTGCTCTTGACTTAAACATCTTTTTATGTCTTGGCACTCAGTTACTATTAAGACCATATTGTCAATCTAGAATTAGGCTGACAAATTTGAACTTGCTGGGAAAAGCAACATAGAGATCCCCACTTTAGGAAGTGAGGTGGGCTGAGGCTTGGTGATGCTGCTTATCAGGAGTAGCATTGGGCCTCTGGAATGTCCTACCAGTGGATTAGATCTACTTTAAATGTTTTCCAGAGTCAGCTTAAAATGGAGCTCTTCAAGATGACTTAGTTTGGGGGGCGGAAGGGTTTGAAAGGAATACCATTAAATGAATTCATTTTACAATAATAATATGCATTGTTTAGATTGGATTTGGCATTTGTATCCACTCATTATGTTCTTCCCAAACTCCGGGGAGAAGCAGATGTTATTTGATGGTGTTTAAGGTACTGTCAAAGAATGTACTGGTGGCAGAGGAGCCATACCACAAAGCCTCAGATAACACTTAGAAAATCTGTGCATTGACAAAATTTCCATTTATCAATTATAAAAGGCCACATTGCTTGGATTCACACATGTATTTTGCTTATACATTATGATATCCTTGATTCTTGGAATAACTTGATGTGAATGAAGGCTACCACCAGCTAAAGAACTGGCAGCTATGATTTCACATTGTTGTAGATGTGAAAATAATAATAAATTAAGTGTTGATGCTACCAAATTCTCAACTATAGTTTTAAATCAATCATAGATCATTTAATTGTTTACTGTATTTTCTGTAAATTGCCAGGAGTCCTTTGGGACTGTGATATGGTATATCTTTTATATTAATATGCTTAGTGATATGGTATATCCTTTATATTAATATGCTTAAGCACCACTTAAAAATATTAACTGAAAAGAGGTGTCAATAATAAGTTAATTGAAAAAAATTATTTGGTGACAGAATACAATGCTGAAAAGTATATGGTAATTGATATTCTGAAAAGTATATGGCAATTATCAAAAGCAGTCTTAATATTTACAATTAGTATTGCAATGAATAGCATATTGTTATTAAAAGTTATTTCTAATTTAAATTACCTTTGATTATTTGTTAAAGCAATAAGATACATTGAGAAGAAAGCAAAAGCAAACAGAAAACATAGACAAAAAAATAATATTTAGAACATTGCTTTGAGAACCATAAACCACATAAGCCATAGATTGCACTATAGTCTCTGAGGGCATCATATGTTATTTCCAAATGGCATCTGTGTAACCTCAAAATTCAATAAAATTAATTTACATTTGCTTTCTTAAAACAGTTCTAACAACTCATTAATTCACAAGATTTTGGTATTCCTGCCTACTGCAACATTTATACTCCCCCAAAGACCCACTTTCTTACTGGCAGAAGGGACTACCAATATTTTATGGACCACAGATCTCTGATCACAGACAGTTTGAGCATTTTACTCAAATAGTGGGCTTTGTTGACAACTCTTAGATATTTTTAACAATGAAGGTTTTGGATTTTGGGCTGTAAATAACCATTTTTACTAAGGTTTATACAATATTGCATTCGGACAATATTACAATGGAATGAATTGCTTACCAAATGACATTACAAGAAATGAAATTTATTTTAGTTTTCAATTTGCAAATTTAAAAAAATCCCTAAGTAGAAATTTAATAATTAATTTAATCTAATTTAATCTTAATTTAATTGATTCAAACTCAGCATAAAAATGTTAAGAGCAATGAAGGCAAATCAGATATTGCACTGGAGAATAACAGTATCTAAATGAATTGTGCCTTTATCATCTCTCAGCTAGACTATGAAAAGATGCCTTGAAGATGACCCAGAAATGTGCACCAGCTGGGTGGGCAGAATGACTTCCATTTGGCAAGAGCTGCTTTGGCTGCAGATAAAGTTCCAGGCCCAGTTCAAGGTGTTGGTTGTTACTTATAAAGCCATGTACTGTACCACCTTCTTATCAGATATATGAAGGAGACAGGAGAACATCCTTGCCCCTAGAGAGACCCAGGAATGAAATCTCCCCCAAAATGGCTTTCTATTTGGGAGGCCTCTCGTTTTGGCATGGCTTACCTTCTGAAGACAGGGTAACTGTTATCTTCATATCTTTTAGGAAGCAGATGAAAAGCTTCCTTTTCTGCAGAGCTTTTGGTCAGTGAATTTTAAGGAAGTTGCCCCCCACCAAAAAATTGTAAATATTTTCATTATTGTAATTCTTATGGATTTTATGAGTGTTGAAAGTGCTGTTTATAAATTATCTGACTGGTTGGAATAAACGGTATATAAATAAGTCTAAAGAAATATATGATATTTCCTTCATAAAAATATTCTTATCCTATATTCATTCTGATGGTTTTATGAAAAAGTTAGAGGGATGATAAATCCCTGATAATGTGGTCAGAATGTACTGGTTGAAACTATTTAGAAACTTATCTTCTCATGTATGCAGAAGTTTGATACACCCTTAGTTACCAATTAGCACAAATTTTATGTTAAGTATCCCTAAAAGCAGATTTCCCTTCTAGAATAGCAGGCAATAGAAAAGTAATTAAGTGCCCTTGAAAATCTAGGCATCACGGGATGGGAAAAGCTAAATGAAATCCTGATCATTTCCATCAGCAAAGTGTTAAATTCTGATTTCTTCAAAAAGCTTAAAATAGGAACAAACCACATTATCATAACAGTAATGTTTACTGTCAAATATGCTACTATGCTTCCTTTAATTTATTATATTTATTGTTATGCATTACATTTTTTTCTTGAAGCTGCAGGTGGATTATATTGGTGTTTTCCCCTTATTTTATCCTGATAATAGCACAGTGCCCCATAATTCTGTTGAATAGGAGAACAATTAGCCCAAAATGATCCAATTCACTTTCATGGATAAACGAACCTACTGTGATAATGTTACTGGTAACTGCTCCACCATACCTGTATGTCATCAAAATTTGTCTTAAAGGATTGATAGGTCCTATAGAACAAATCTGGGCCATTTTGCTCCAAGGAATCTACATTCACACCTTACCTTCATCCTTCCTTCTCAGTTTTCTCCCTGCTTTGTTAATTTCCTATCAATATTTATTTCCACAAATGTTATAAAGCATTGATAAGGACCAACTGAAAAGACTTAACTCAACTTTCATGTATCTGGATCTTCCTGTAATAATTATGTATTATTTGTCTACCTAAAACACTGCTACCCTAGAGTGTCAAGTGGACTGCTCTGCAAACAATTTCCACTAAGTCTTCTGTGAAGGAGGAGGATCTTCAATTCCTAGCAATGGCGGATTAAGGCTCACTGGTGCCCTAAGCACTAACAAATCTTGGTGTCCCCCTCCTTTGTACATACTGTACAAATGAAGCCAAGCTTAGGCTACATAAAAGTTCTTAAAAATTCAATTCAAAATCAATTTTAATATTTCACAAGTTTAATGTATCAAAGTTCCAATTGTCTTCACTTGAAAGACAAATCTTCATTGGTTTTTTTTCTTTCTCAACTTTGTGGTGCCCCTTTGGGCCTGGTGCCCTAAGCATGTGCTTAATCTGCTTAATGCTTAATACACCACTGATTCCTAGCACTGAGGAAATAGTGCATTGTCAGGCTTTACTAATGAAAGAAAAAATATAATGTTATTTTCCTAAGGTAGCACATTTTGAATCAGCCCTATGCCTCGACTTACATTGCTGAATGCATTAGTTGCACTTCTTCACAAAATAGCCACAAAAGCTTATGTTTGCAGAATAATTGGAATCATAATTGTTTTGGAAGAGTATAAAGACACTTGAGGAGCAGTTGCATATATGAAACTATGTAGGTAGCTTATATTGGATGCTTTTGTTA